TAGCTGGCTAATGTAGCTAACATAATTCAAGCTTATACCTCAGCAATTAGCATTGTGCTAACTGCCTTCCAGAATCTTCACACCTTGCTTCAAACAGACTTGATAATGTGTATGATGTATTGTTAAAGCTATACACAGGGATAAAAAAAGTATATTAGCATAGCTAGTAGCAGCTAGCCACTTGAAGCTTTTGTCCGCGTTGTAGTTCAGAAAATGGGTGCATGTTATTTGGGTTGGTTTTCCCCAGAGTTGTTTTCTGGTTTCTTTTCAAAAAGGACTTATATCGTAAAGGTTGAACTAACCTTTTGTTTTTGACTGTTTACGTTTATTTCAGGAAGCAGGACGTAGCTCAGGCTTAGAGAGCTCTGTTAGCATCTCATTCCTAATGTGAGGCAAGTTGTGGCAACAGTAAATAAAGCCCACATCTCATGCTGAAAGAGTGTGTACCTTCTTCATAGCACAAAAAAGGCTACAGTATAGCATTTTTTTAATATACAACAGTATGTCTTATGCTGCTTTCACATGTTGCTACTGCCTTACAGCAGTACGCCAATGTTGGACCAGCGAAAACAGGTGATTATTTGAGGACCGTTCACCGCACTGTTGATTGTTTATTTAAGATGGAAAAAAGTCTCTGTACTCTTTTAATATTTCGTGTATAATATGATTTCAATGATTTGACACTCATGGCTCCCAAAAAAACCAACATCTGGTTTATTTCACCGCCACGGTCAATGCCAAAAGTTTGGAAAATTGAACTCTTGGCGGAACATTCCACTGACCGCTGCGGTACACTGTCATTTCTGCTCCATTGCAAACAATAGAATATTCGGTTTGCCATCAGCTGCCTAGCACCAATATGTAAACACATTAATAAGATGTCAGAAGCAACATAGGGTCATATGTAAAAGTTTGAACGCACAGGGTCAAATGACGCTTTGTTGATTTACTAAATTAAGTCAATTTTAGTGCCCAGTTGAGTTTAACATACTGGGAAAACAAAATATAAAATATGTCATAACTTTTATACAGGCCTTATTTTATGTTTTTTCCCTGTGCGTGAACTGTGCATTAAAATGTGCAGAAGTGTGTTCTCTATAGAGGGTGCTTTAACTTATGTTCACTTAGAAAACCAGCGAAACATGGAATTTGACCAGGGGCGCCCAAACTCATGCATACTATAAGCAAGCCTGTTTGACATAACAACATCATGTTGTTTGAGGCAAGTGTGTGATGCTTTAGGCATGCAGTCTGCATGATTCCCATTGATCATTTGTTAGCTATTAGCCTCGTAGCTTCACTAAAGACGCGAATGTCAGACGTAATTTGGGGAGAAGCGTGGAAATGACGTAAAATCAGATTGTTCACTGAACTGTCGCATTAATTCTGCTTTCTTGACTCCACTCGGGGTCTTTAGGCTGGCGTGTTTTCTGCTGAATGTCATGTGACATGTGTCAGGCTTGTATGCTATAGGATTAGGCTTTAAACGTGTCTTTACTCGCATGCAGGCCCGGCTGTAACAAAGCTGCGGCTCTTTATTTTTACGACCCCTTCTCTTTTATTCCCTCCTCTTAATGGCCTGCGGGACTGGAAGCGTTTCGAAACATTATGTCCTTAATTCGTCTCAAGCTGGTGTTTTGATACGGGACGGCTCCTACTTTTAGCTCATGCTGTTGTCATTAGTCATTGGTCCTTTGTTCAAAAAAGAATGAAACAAAAAAGCAAAGAAAAGAAAAAACGCTCTGAAGTGCGTTTAACCCAAGGCAGTAACTAATAAGCGAGGCTGTTCGTTTAGACCCACGGTGCTGGTTTTGTATCCAGCCTGCGCTGTTTCTAATTCTGCCCATATAAATCCCCACTCTGACGCCTCTTACTCACATGATAATAAAACCAAGTATTTACTTTTGTTTTCCCCAACTGCTTTATGTCCTTCCTGCTGGCTCGGCCAGCTTAATGCACTGGGCTTTTGTGCAGTCTTAATAGCAATGGAGACGTCCATCTCTGGGTCTGACGTTAAGTATTATATGATAAAGTGGGCTGGATAGTGGAGTGGACCTGAGATGACCGACAAACGGTTGAATTGAAAACACTGGAATTCCAATGTTATCCTGAGTGGCCTTTCTCCAACAGTGCAATAGCTCCTGACACTTTACCCCAGGCCTGCTTTTTAACCAATAATAAAAACTTTATTTACAGTCCTGTGCAAATTTCCAACACTACATTTGTAGGCAAAGCAGATAAAGTACAAGTAATTTATTTTTCTGGAGATGTTTGTGAGATTAGATATCTCACAATCCACTTGAATAAAGACACTGCAAGACCTGGTAGACCACCAAAACTGTTCCCATCAGATAAGCAGCACTTAAAGCTTTCATCTTTGAGAGAGAGGAGAAAATCAAGCTGCTTCACATCTGAAAACATCCACATTCATCCTTCCACTGTGATAAGACAAAGGATGTGTAGCTGTCAAGAAGCCTCACTGAGAAAAGGAGACAGACTCATCAAACTAAGAAGCTGAACAATGGACTGACCACCCCAGAGTCCAGACCTCAACATCACTGAATGTGTTCGGATTACTTGGATTGTGAAAAGCAGAAAGTGCAGCCAACTTCTAAGATTGAACTTTGGAGTTGTGGCTGCAGTTGTCTTTGAATGGAAAGAATGGAAGCTGTAATAAAGGCACTAAATACTGAAAAATATAAAATTATATTCAGGTGTTGAAGTTTCTGTGAAACCCTCTGTTAAATATGTTTTCTGCTGATTTCCTCACACTAAAAAAACTGAAAACATATTAATGAAAAGCTTATTAAAAGTTCGTAGCAGCTGTTTTGACAAGAAATGAAATAAATGAAGAGCAGTCTCTGACTTTTGCACAGACTTTGGCGTGCAAAAGATTGAACACCCCTGGTCAAACAACATACTACTCATTTTCTAAGTGAAAATATGTTAATACATTCTCTACAAAGAACACAATTCTGCACATTTTAATGCACAGTTTCTATTCATTTGCTGAGTTTAACATATTGGAAAAAATAAAACAAAACATACAAAAGCAGAGCATGTTTTTTATGTTTTATTTTGTTTTTTCCGATATGCAAAAATCTGCAAATGAACAGTAGTTGTACATGATAATGTGCAGTGTGTTCCTCTTTAGAGCAACTTGGAAAATCCACACAACATGCAAACTGACCAGGGCGCCAAAACTTTTGCATATAACTGTAGCACCTTTCATACATAAAATGCATCTGAAAGATGAACTGAAATGAACTGAAAGTCATTTAATCACTTGCCAAATGATCCATTTACAAAAATATCTACAGCTTTAAGTATAATTCGCCTGTTAAAATGCTCAAAAAGGTAATTACATAAATCAAGCATGGAATAAATGTAATCAGCTCACTGACAGAATCCATCGAGAGCACTACGACTAAGGCACAACATCTAGCCAAACAGAGTCTGAGATCAAATGCCGAGTGCTTGTGATATGTTGGGGTATTTTTTTTTTCCAGGCCCATTCGTTAAGATCTGACACGGCTCACATTCTTCTCTGACTGATACCGGCTGGCACGGCCCACCCCCACCTAGCATGAACCACCACTCTGCCTGCTGAAAATAACCTCTTTCTGAGGGGGTTCTGGCTGACTTCATATCACTTCAAATTCATCTCATTTTTCATTTCGCATCCCCTCTTTGGCCTAAGTTCAGATGTAAGAAGGGAAAACCGAGGATTTGAACTCTCTTCAAGAAGGTTCAGAATGCTGCAGGCTGGCCAATATATCATTTAGGTTAACTTCAGACTTTTACCTCAAAGAAAACTGCAGATAAAGCAGATGGATTCACATCTCACATCAACTGGAACTCAACTTTTGAGCTAAGGTGTTGCTAGGCCTCTGCTATGGTATCCCAGGTGGTTGCTAAGGTGTTGCTAGGCCATTGCTATGGTATCCCAGGTGGTTGCTAAGGTGTTGCTAGGCCATTGCTATGGTATCCCAGGTGGTTGCTAAGGTGTTGCTAGGCCTCTGCTACGGTAGCCCAGGTGGTTGCTAAGGTGTTGCTAGACGTTGTTTTGGTATCTCAGGTGGTTGCTAAGGTGTTGCTTGGCCATTGCTATGGCAGCCCAGGTGGTCATTAAGGTGTTGCTAGGCCTCTGCTATGGTATCCCAGGTGGTTGCTAAGGTGTTGCTAGGCCTCTGCTACGGTAGCCCAGGTGGTTGCTAAGGTGTTGCTAGGCCATTGCTTTGGTATCCCAGGCGGTTGCTAAGGTGTTGCTAGGCAATTGCTATGGTAACTGAGGTGGTTGCTAAGGTATTACTAGGCCATTGCTATGGTATCCCAGGTGGTTGCTAAGTTGTTGCTAGGTCATTACTTTGGTATCCCAGGTGGTTGCTAAGGTGTTGCTAGGCCATTACTATGGTAACCAAGGTGGTTGCTAAGGTGTTACTAGGTCACTGCTGTGGTATCCCAGGTGGTTGCTAATATGTGCTCGTATGTATGTGAATCTGTATATAATGCCTTTGAGAGGCAGTTCGTGACTTCATTTTTGGCAGTTTGGAGTGAATTTTCTGAACATTCTGCTACTTATTTCAGGGAAAAAAAGTCATGTTTGAACAAACGCTGTGCAAAAACTAGATGTGCGATCGATCCCACAAGCACAAGTGCTATATTCCCATTTAGGTTCTACAATCCTGGCTCAAACTTTCTTTGTCAGGCTGACTTAAATATTTTATTGTTTGGCATATGCTGCTCATATACTGCTCGTTTTAAAATATGTACAATAACAAAAATAGTTAAAAGATAAAAAATGCTATTTGCAAAGAAAAATCAGGCTATTCTTTTCAGTGCAAAATGAAAAAGCAAACTTTAAAAATCAAACCTGGCTGATAAACATTTGGGTTAAGGTGATTTTGATTTTGGGCTAATCCATCACTTTAAATTTCCTGGTCTTGCTTTGACTAGTATTGACTCTCTCTCTCTCTCTCTCTCTCTCTCCCTCTCTCTAGGTAATGCGTGTCAGAGTGGTTTGCTCCCTCTGGTGCGGGCTCCTCTCCCAGTGCAGTCGTCTCTGCGCCTCAAGCAGTTTCTCCCCTTCACACTGGACGCCAGCCCACTCAACCTGGTGCCCGGATTCAGCGCTGTGAGTTATGCACACACACAGGCTCACACATAAGCCCAATTTACACGACTGGGCTGCTTGCTGTGCTACACACAATACGCTCCTGTTTAGCCTTTTACATGTAGCATGCGGCTCTGCTTCAGCTCTATTTTCGCTGTTCGGACAGGTGGAAAAAAAGGAATGAGCCAATCAAAACCTCTTTCGAACTGTTAATAGCTGATTGCTATGCTCAAATAAAGTTTATTTACAGAGAATTTGCACCAATTTTTAAATTTTTTTTTAATAATTTAGTGGTTGAGTCATTCAGAGTGGTTTGGTGTGAAATGGTTCATTGTAGAGAGTCATATTTCTTTACAGTGGTGGTGATAGGAACCAGGGGTCACCATGACTACAATACAAATATAGACATTTTATTTACTATCCAAAACCACCAGTGGACCTATATGTGTCTCCTAAGGTTTTATATGGAATGTTTATGATGGTAAAACAATGGTAAATTTGAAAAAAAAAGTTACCTTTGGGGAATATCTTGCCCTACAACACCCTGCATGCACCCCTCCTCAGTGAATGGATTATAATAAATAGATTAAAATACACTTTAAGCGAAAACTTTATCACTAAACGATCATAAAACGATGCGTCAGACATCAGGCAGTGTATATCTAACCATTTCTTGTAATAATGTTCTGAAAGGGAGCTGTTAGAAGCATTAAACTCTTCAGACATCTGGTTCCTATCATCACCAGCAGTTCTCACTTGGTAAGTTTCTGTAGAACAGAGCATTTCACACCAAACCACTCTGTAAGACTTCGTTTACATGTAAACCATTTAATTAGGTAGAATACATATGTGAGCACAAAAGACTTTTCACGTCACTAACGCAATGTGTGTGAGTCAGTGTGTGAAATAACGAGGGTTGTCGAGCGGTTTAGGTTTGTTATGCGCTGTGTTCAATGTAAAATCGGCTTTACACAAGCATGCAAACACATAAGCTGTGTCCCAATTCAGGTGCTGCATCCTTCAAAGGACATGGTCTACGAAGGCATGTCTATTGAAGGCTGCGTAGACTCGTGAAGGCTGGACTGATATCTGCTCAACGGCAGATTTTCTGTTTGCCCTTACCGTTGCATCACGAAACGTCGCTCTTGTTAAGTTCTTTAAAGATGGAGCCAGAAGCTTTGATTTTATTTTTTATTCTTTCATTTTTCAGAGCTGCAGATGCTTCTCTCTGTCTTCTCCTTGCTACCTAAAACAAAATATTATTGTATGTTTTGCTTCAGACCACATTGACTTTATTTTAACATTTGTATCATTAGCTATTCGATTCAGTTTAAACCCAATAAACTCCTCTGCTGACGCCGCCACGTTCTCGAATCGTCACCGGCAAGCAAAGAACCTCAGGACATGTTGGAATATGGTTTGTTGCCATGGAAAAAAAGGACACATTTCCCGGCCGCATGTGAAGGAGCCTTCGAAATGGGACAGCCTGTTTGCGCCGCTGTGACAAAATCGGCCTCTAAATGCACGCTCTGAAGGATACAGCCCCTGAATTGGGACACAGCATTTGCATTAGCATGGCACAGATATGACTGAGAAGACTGAAGAAATGTAGTGTGGCTAGGCTAACCATGATAACTGAAGTTTAGTGTTGGGCTCAGATTGGGATCAAATTTCAAGCCAAAGAAGAGGAACCCAATTAGAAGAAGATAGCTCTTCAAAGCAATACTCTTTTATTGAACATAACAGTAGGGTAAACCCACCACTCAGCGCTACTGAACGGCTGTGAGTCCAGCGCTCCCATGTTACCACCCTGCATGGCCACCAGCATGCCCATGGCCAGTAGCGGATCACTACAGTGTTAGATAGCTCCAGTCGTGAGATAAATACTCAGAAAAGTAGTTATTACTTTTTTAAAAAAGTTACAAATGACTTTTCTCAAAATGTAATGGGATTACATTATTTATTACTTCTTGGAAAAGTAATCTCACTACTTTTGACTCTTTTTTACCTTACAGTACCAAATTATCTCATTATACTGGCAGACATTTTTTGCTTGTTTAAAGCATATTTTTGCATATTTCTTAAAACAAGTAAAACGATCTGCCAAATAGTGAGTTAATTAAAATAAAAAGTGTCCAGATATGAGTTAAATAATCTCATATTATTCTTACAGCAGTCTCAAATGGAGAAATAATAGATAAAACTACTGAATTTAAGATGATTTCACTTGCCAAGATATACGCATGCATGGGGTCCCATTCATGTCTTTGGCCTAGGACCCCAGAATCACTAAATCCCCCCACCCGTCGTTACAGCAGCATTTTCATAACTCAACTAACCACCAGGACACTTAAGCTGTGCATAAATACTGCAAATTTTACCCAATATCTCAGATGCAGCAGAGAGAGTGAGGGAATTTACTCTACTGCAGCCTTTTAAAGGCCCCATTATAATTCAGTGTTTTAACAGTAAAAGTGAATAAAAAATAAAAGTGTATTATTTAATGTTATTTACTATCTTTGCTATATACAGGGATCAGAAGAACCATGTTAGAGCTAGCTGCTCTACGGTAATACCCAGTCACTTTAGCTCATTTTTCTTACTGCACTCACTTTGAAGCAAGCTGAAGTTCCACAGTTCACTTAACTGAATATCTGAATCTTAACTGAAGCTAAAGCTGGCATTAAAGGGCGTAGCAGAGAGAACTAAAAGGTAGCTTCTTAAACTTCTCTCTCTCTCTCTCTCTCTCTCTTTCTCTCTCACACACACACTCTTTTTCTCTCTCAAACAGAAAAAATGACTAGAATGCCTCAAATTCTATATGATTGATTAATACCAATACTGCTAAACTGATGGCTCAAGGTGTAAATGTTAAAATAACGTATTGCTTTATTTTCAAATATAAATAAATTGTAACCCTAACATGTTTTTTTAAGTGTAATATATCTGTAAACGCTGGGGACACGAAAATGGACGTTTCCATAGAATGACTTTTACACATCACCATTGAGTTACTTGTCCATCATCAATGTATCCGATTACACCGCCTAATCGCCCAGGCCTAGTCCAACCAAAAACACTGAAAACCTTACCAAAAATCTCCATCCCGGAGAGTGTTTTCAAAAAGCTTGGTTTTCAGTGATCAAAGTGCTGTTTTCATGTGAATAGGAGGTCAAAACAGAGGAAAAAAACTAAATTTATTCTCAAAAATGTCCAAATGTGTGTGGACTCAGCCTAAAACAATAGTACAAACACAACTGTATACACACACACACACACACAGGCTGTGCTGTTAATGAGGTTTTGTATGCACTGCTGCTGGCTGGTACCCACTGCGTTCTGTATAATTCGAAACATGGCTTTTACGACGATTACTGCGTGAGCGCTGGCGGGGGAAATGTGTGCTTGCGGTGCGCCTATCAACACATCAACAAAGCGGTTCAATGCGGCTCAGTTGGAAGCTCTGTGTGGGTGTATAGGGATGCTGCGTAGTGGAGTACGTGGCCTGGGTGAGTGCAGGAGAGGAGGAGTGTGGGTTAAACTATATTTGTGTATCAATTTAGAGTTCCAAAATCAAGGTTCCACCGATAATGTGAGGTATGTTTATTAGTAGAAAAATATTGTTCTTTACTTTGTGCTTGTAATCCTGACTGCTAGCATTTCAAAGGTTCTTGCCACCTTCAAGACGCATCATCAGAAGGGGGTGTTACCAGAGAACATGTAGAGAGGATAATAACCACTTTGTAACGGTTTCTCAAAAGCTAGAGGGCGCTCCTGAGTGAGTCCAAAATTAATGGGTTAAAATCATAGTTTATACATAGTTTATACTTATGTATAATGTTTAAACATTTTCAATGTAAAAGAATACTTTCATTTCCTGAACACTAAACAGCGTAAAACATTTTAACACTGCTGTTATATTTTTAAGAGCTTTGAACTCGAGTTATAGGAGTTTGAAAAGCCGTCTCGTAAATTCATGACGTCAGTGTGCGCGAACAGCCAATGAGCTGCTCCGCTCGCCAACCAATCAGCACTCAGTAACAGTAATGTTAATGTCCTGCTGCCTAAAACCCGTTTGCTGTAGAAAAAAGGAATTAAACAAGTGAGTTTTCTTTGCTTTTTTAGTGAAATACATCCTTCTACTTTCAAAAATTAAAGGAAAGTTCTGGGCAAGTAATTAGAAACTATTTTAACTTTTACTTTTTAGCCGTTCATCTCTATTCACCCTCATTCATTGAGGACTCACTCGTGGGCGGCCTCTGCTGTTTTGCAGTCCTGTTTTTGATATAATGGGAGAAATAGGAAAAGGCCAGGATCCTTATAAAGCACCTCTGGTGTTCCTAGACTTTTAACTTTTCTGTTTGGATGGTTAAAAGGTTATCATAAGAGGCTTGCTTTGTTTTGTATCATGTAAGATTAATTAAGCTTCTGCCTCTGAGTTTACAGAAACAATCACATTAAAGCAATAAGCCACGAGAGGCTGCGCATCACTGTGATTTTATCACGGGGAAGGGTGTTCTTTGCTTCGCATCGGGCTTAAAACTCCCTTCCCGCGCTAAAATCACAGTAACGTATGGCTTAAATGGTTTATTGCTTTTATATAAAACGATGGCCAACATAAAATATGATAAAACACGCAGTTTTTCAGAAAAACATTCAAGTTATTATTATTATTAATAATCGACATAAACAAGTATTCCACCAAGTAGTTCCCTTAGCATATGGTATTGTTGCCAAGCAGCCATGGGCCGCAAATGAGGAGAAGGTTCAGTTGCCCATTGCTGTATATTGCGGTCATTTCATTAACTTTTTCACTTTTTGTCATTTAACAATGAACATATGGTAACACAGCACTGTTTAGTGCAAAAACCTTCACTTTATAAGTACTTTTTGGTCAACAGATTATCACTGTGTGTCTTATTTAGCACCAATCCAGCAGCGCCGCTCTTCTCCCGCTGAGGCTGAATCTCAAATGGCTCCCTGCTCCCTACATAGTGCACTATGTAGGAATTTAAATACTG